CCTAAACAAATGCAATGCAATGTCAGAAGGTCAATCAGTCGTGGGAGGGGCTCAAGAAAGGGATCCAGGGACTTCCCTGGTGGTCCAGTGGTTAAGACTCTGAACTCCCACTGCAGGGGACTCAGGTTCGATCCCTGGTCAGGGATCTAAGATCCCACATGCCACGGGGCGCGGCCAAAAAATAAAATAAAATAAATGTAAACAAAAAAGAAAAAAAAAGAAAGGGATCAGAAGCAAAAGAGCTCCTTGAGAGGTGTTTTTGGATCTTGAAAGCTGATTCTGCTCTTGGCTCTTTTGAGAAGGCCTATCCCCTCAAGGCAGAAAGTGGCAGGTCTGCTGGGTGAGGAACAGGAACTGCACACCTAGGGACAGCGCAATGGCCACTGAGAAATCAAAACCCTTGTTAAGTGTATCACTTCAGCACGTAAAAGTCACCCAAAAAGTCACCAGGCTGACCAAAGACCTCAGAAATGTCCTTGGAGTCAAGGTCTCCTCTGCTCTGTGGAACAACTCAAAATGATGTGTTCAGGAGGCAGGAAAGAGCACACCACCTGGATTCAAATCCCAGCTCCACCAACCACTAGCCACGTGACCTTAAACGAGTCATGACCTCGGTGCCTCTAACTTTCTCAACCATAAAATAAAGGTGATAACAGTAGAGTAAGCACTCATTAATGATGCCTGCTGTTGTGATTCAGAAAGTTGTCCCATCTAGGTCCTGTCCTCTTCTGACACTGTCCTAACATCATGGTATAAGCGATAGTACGCCCCACCCCAATCCCAAGAGCAAAATTCTTCTTTCAACCAAGTGCTTTGGAAAAAAAATCAAAACCAAACAATAAACAAAAGGCCCCTGGGCTTCCCTGGTGGCGCAGTGGTTGGGAGTCCGCCTGCCGATGCAGGGGACGCGGGTTCGCGCCCCAGTCCAGGAGGATCCCACATGCCGCGTAGTGGCTGGGCCCGTGAGCCATGGCTGCTGGGCCTGCGCTGCGCAACGGGAGAGGCCACAGCAGTGAGAGGCCCGCGTACCGCAAAAAAAAAAAAAAAAAAGGCCCACATTAACTATTTCATTAAATGATGTCTGAGAGATAAAAACCAATAAGCGCTCACAGAATCCACATTCAAAAGAAAGAAGAAGGTATTTAAATCAATAGCTTAAACCAACTCTTTTCCTACAAAAAGTACATTTATATTGTTTGAAATAACCACAGGAGATACTCTCCCCAACTAAGAAATAGGTATGAGTTTCTTTTCTTTTTTTTGCGGTACGCGGGCCTCTCACTGTTGTGGCCTCTCCCGTTGCAGAGCACAGGCTCCGGACGCGCAGGCTCAGCGGCCATGGCTCACGGGCCCAGCCGCTCCGTGGCACGCGGGACCCTCCCGGACCGGGGCACAAACCCGTGTTCCCTGAATCGGCAGGCGGACTCTCAACCACTGCGCCACCAGAGAAGCCCCGAGTTTCATTTTTAAAACATATAATCTAGGACTTCCCTGGTGGCACAGTGGTTAAGAATCCGCCTGCCAATGCAGGGGACACGGGTTCGAGCCCACATGCCTCGGGGCAACTAAGGCTGTGCGCCACAACTACTGAGCCAGCGCCCTAGAGACCGCGAGCCACAACTACTGAAGCCCATGCGCCTAGAGCCCATGCTCGGCAACAAGAGAAGCCCCCACAGTGAGAAGCCCGTGCACCTCAACAAAGAGTAGCCCCCGCTCGCCACAACTAGAGAAAGGCCATGCGCAGCAACGAAGACCCAATGCAGCCAAAAATAAATTGATTTTTAAAAAGATATAATCTATGAAAATGCATTGATTAATTTCCATAATATTTCAGATTAGTTTTACTATCAAATAGCATTCCATTTAAAATATCGATTTAACTTTTAAATCACTAGGAAGTAAACTGTCTTTAATTCAAATATATATAATTATAAAATTATAATTATAAAATATATAATTATAATTTGGGGGTGGCATTTTCACCAAGTTTCTTTAAAGGCAGGAAGTATTAGTTAGCAACAGTGACAACTGACGTTTTATTACACACTAACTAAGCGCCTAATAAACTAGGTGCTAATTTCTACATACTACCTCATTCTCTTAATCCTTTTTGAGAGATATAGGCTCATTTTACAGAAAAACCTCAGCTTTGAGGTTGACTATTTACGGTTCTGATAGACAACTGATTGCTAGTACTGTGTAAGGTTTTAACACTAAAATGATACAGAAAGGTAAGTCTCAAACTTTAATGTGCACGAGAATCTCCCGGAGAATCTTGCTAAACTGCAGATTATGATTCAGAAAGTCTGGGGTTAGGCCTCTGATTCTGCATTTCTAATAAGCTCTCAGGTGCTGGCAATGCAGCTGACCACACTTGGAGCAAGGACCTGCAGGTGGCAATAGGCCACAAACCACAAAAAATGTCTCTAAAACCTGAAACGAAAAAAAGTCAAATTTTTTCTCAAAAACTTATATTAGAATTAGAACTTATATTAGACATATTTCTTGATGGGATTCTGAGCTTTGTAACATCTTAGAAATATCTTCAGGGACTTCCCTGGCGGTGCAGTGGACAGGACTCCATGCTTCCGAGGCAAGGGGCACAGGTTTGATCCCTGGTCGGAGAACTAAGATGCCCCACGGCATGGCCAAAAACAAAAAGAAATATCTTCATAACGACTCTTGTCTTCTTTTCCAGTTTAAGTTGAGAGTCCACTATCTTGAAGTTTTGTGGTGGTTCTTCCCCCTAAAAACCCTGATTTTTTTTTTTAACAAGGCTGAAAAGCTAAATGCATGGAACTGTTTCACGTTGCCATACCCTTCAAGCAGGTCCCCATCCTTCACTCACCCACACATAACATAACCTCTCGCTGTTTAAATTCTAGAGATTAGACAAAAGACAAGAGTTAGGCGAGATTTTAGGGGCTGGGCCCCAAAGTTCTTCCAGATGAAAAGTAAAGCTCTACAAAAAAAAAAAAAAAAAAAAAAACAGCACCTTACGAAAAGGCAGTGATAAATACCACTGGCTTCCATTTCTGGCTTTAGGTGACAAAATTCCAACAATTAGGTGATATCTAACATTTTATATAAACTACTGGATTTCATTCTTTTATCAGATCTTTTGAATGGCAAGCTCTATGTACTTTCAAAAGTCCAGAGTAAACAAAACAAGGTACTTAACAAGGCCCTAAATTCCACCTGGGCCCAGGTTGCCTCCCATCCTGCTCTTTAATTCACTTCTGATTATCAGTGCTGTACTCAAACATCAGCTAGCTGCCTCTTTTTAAAGGCAGTTATACACCTCCCCCACTCCTCCATTCACTTTGCTAACAACAATGCCTAACTACAGAACAAATATATCTCTTGGAACATTCCACTTTACCAGATAAGGTCAGTTTAAAATTCTAGAGAGGAATAACCTGCTCCGTTTGTCTTTCCTGAGAGCCCTTCAAAAACACCCTCCTGCAATCAGCAGAACAAGCCTTTCACCCGAGCGAGAGAGCGAGAACAGTCTATGATTCTGCAATTTACAAACACTGAGACCTTTATTTAAAGGATATCCACACATTAAATGATTCCCAAGGAACCTTTATCTATGTACTCAAGTAAGCACAAGAAGACCAATGCTTGGAAGAAACAAAATGCACATACATTGCACCTCTGTGCAAATGGCTTCTCTAGATGAGAAGTCGCTGCCAGGCCTCAGAGAAAGGCCTACCTGTGTCAGGGGATATAGGGACAGTTTTTTCCGAACTGGAGTATGCTCTATCCACAGCAGAGCTAAGTAACAAACCAAAGAGGCCTGTTAGAAAACCACAAAAGAGGGGCAGAGGGGACAGGCCCCTGCCCTGAACACCCTGAAAGCTAAAAATAAGAATTCTGAGAAATGAGCTCTACCATAGACAAGCCCAAAAGAAAGTTCTCTGTTTCTGTTACCTCCAAACCTGGCTGCCCTCCCATAGTGATTTAACTCTGGGTACCAACTGGGCAATGCCAGCCACCGTGCTGGGGCGGAGGATTCAGGGATGCCGGTTCTACCTTCTGGGCTAATTAGAAGGAATCAAAACCTCTGCAGCAGGGACTTCCTTGGTGGCCAGTGGTTAAGAATCCGCCTGCCAATGCAGGGGACACTGGTTCGAGCCCTGGTCCAGTAAGATCCCACATGCCGTAGAGCAACTAAGCCCGTGCACCACAACTACTGAGCCTGCACTCTAGAGCCCGGGAGCCACAACTATCGAGCCCACGTGCCACAACTACTGAAGCCCGAGTGCCTGGAGCCCGTGCTCCGCAACAAGAGAAGCCACCGCAATGAGAAGCCCGTGAAACGCAACAAAGAGTAGCTCCCACTCACTGCAACTACAGAAAGCCCCCGTGCAGCAACGAAGACCCAATGCTGCCATAAATAAATAAATAACAAAAAACAAACAAAACCTCTGCAGCATAAACTGGAGACTCTGGGCAGATCTGGGCTCCCCCAATGCATCTGGACTACATGCCTCCATTCAACATTTATTTGAGCGTCTACCATATGCCCAGCACTGTGCTGGGCGCCGGGGAAGAAACCGAGCCACAGTCCCCAGTGGTGGAAGCCGAGACAAACGAGGACCATCCGGAGGAGTGGAGGATGTGCGGGCCCCGAACACCTAACACAAGTTGCTATGACCAGCAGTACCCAGGGGACAGCATGACCGCGGCCGGGTTTCGCTCACCACCAAACCCAACAGTGAAAGAGGCTCGCGACAGCGAAGGCTGGAGTAGACAGAAAGGCCCGGGGGCAGGTGTTCAGGTAGAAGGCGCACACCTGAGGCGGCAGGGTCCCCAGGGGAGGCGGGAGGGCGGCACGGGGGCCCAGCGAAGGAGAGGGAGCGCAAGGACTGGGGCCATGGGAAGCGAGTGCGCGGTGGAGGCCGGCCGGGCCTGCGCCCCCTGAAGCGGGAGCAGGGAGGGAAGGCGCGCGGCTAGGCCGCCCGCCGGCACCTGGGGCCCCGCCCGGCACCTACCACTTGGGCGACCTTGAGGCAGCCAAACGCGCCGCGCAGGTAGTCCGGGTCGCAGCGCAGGCCAGCCAGCCCGCGGCGCTGGCTCACCGGCTCGGTGGTGGGCTGGTACGGACTGCTGGCGCCCGAGATCATGGAGGTGCTCGAGGCCTCGCCCTCGAAGCCGTCCAGCTCCTCGCCGCTCCGCATGCTCCCGCCCGGCCCGGGCCGCCTTGCGCGGCTGGCCTCAGGCGTCCGGAGCTAGCGGGCTCAGCGGGGCCGCCGCATCGCCGCCGCCGCCGCCGACGACTAACTGCCCGCACCGCCGGCGCCGCCGCCTCTGCGCCCGCCGCCCGGCTGCGGCCGCGGCTCGGTCCGCTCGGGCTCGGCTCCCGCCGCCTCGGCAGCGGAAAGGGAGGGAGGCGGGAGCTGGCGGAGAGGGAAGGAGGCGGGAGCCGGCGCGGCCAGCCGGGAGGGGGCGGAGCGAGTGCCCGCCCGCCGGCCGCTCGGCGGCGCTCCGCGGCTCCCGCGGGTGGAGGTGGCAGCCCGCGCTGCGGGGCCTCGGGAGGGCGGGGCGGAGCGGGGCGGGGCGCCAGGGCCTCTGGCTCCGCCCTCACCTGAGTACGCGCGGGGGTCGGGGCCGCGGCTGCGCGCCAGGCGATCGTAGCGTGGGAGGGCGAAGGTCGGGGAAAGAGGGGTAGTGGGGAGCAGGGAAAATGGGGGTTGACGGAGGGTCGAGGTGGACCTAGGGGGCACGGAGCTGCTTTCCCAGAGCGCTGCCTCCGTTTCTTCCCTGGAGGAAGTGGGGTCTTCTTCAGGTAGGCCAGGGGACTTATCGGTGAAGACCAAGGTGTGCTGTGCGACCCCCGTGCTGGAAACAGTACGGGGCCCAGGGTGGGCCTGACTTGGACTGTTTGACAAGAGGGGGCTAAGTGTCTGGGCTCCCACACTGGGCAACAAACCAGTACTGAAGTCAGGGACTGAACGGGACAGGGGTGAGAAGTCGGGGTGAGTGAGGTCGCTTAGTACTGGGTCTGTAAGACAGACAGGCGGCAGTATTTGTGAATAACTCCCAATGTACGCTCTGGATCCACCGGCCTGACGGAGAATGGGAGCTAGCCCACAGGAGACCCTCGGTGACTAACATTAGTTTCCTCTCTTAGCTGAAAAGGTTTTGCAATCTCTGCCTAATCACCAAGGCAGGTTAAGCACAGATTTTTGCACTGAAGGGCATTAATTAGGGACCAATTTGCAATTCAAGTGTAAAGGATAGTTTTAAGCTTAAGTAAAACACCGACTTTCTAAGAATTGTCCCTTTGGTATTGAACCCTCCCACACCACAAATATCTAGAGCTTACCATGCTTTAGACACTGAGGAAGGCACTTGAAACTGTTATTCCCATTTTACAGAAGACCAGACTAAGGTTTCAGACTGGTAGTCCCAGGCCACACAATTGGTGAGCAGAGCCCACTCACTTCCAAATTTTTTCACTACACAGTGTTGCCTAGTATATAATTCAGATGGGCTTGTGAACTTAGGAAGTGAGAAGCAGTAAATGTCATAACTCAGGAGATCTCAATTTAAAGGGCTCTCACCTTTTGGTTACCAAAGATGGGAACGACAATGACTCTAACACTCCATTCAGCCCACAAATATTTATTGGGCACTTATATGCTAAAGAATATGCTAGGACCTGGAGGTTGCCAATGAAAGATAACAAGTTGAATGGTTGGATGCAGACTCTGGCCTCTGCTTTCTCCCCGAATCCCAGTGAAAGGACAGTTACAGAGACATCTTTTAAGGGCATAAAACCACAGGGACAAAGAATGGGAAAGGAGACAATGGCAACAAAATGTTGGAAGCAGAAAAGCAAATGGGCAAGTGGTAGCTAACTTAGCAGATCCAAGAAAGCTAAACCCTAAGTTGGCACAGGGGAAGGCTGAAATGCAACCTAGGTCATATCACAGGAAAAAAGGCTCAGGAATGGGCAGCACCAAGCACATCTAGAAGTGGGGGGGTGAAAGTAGGAATTAAAAAAAAAGACCAAATGGAAGTCTTTTTAAGAAGCAAATGGGGAGGGCTTCCCTGGTGGTGCAGTGGTTAAGAGTCCGCCTGCCAATGCACGCAACAGGTTCGAACCCTGGTCTGGGAAGATCCCACATGCCACGGAGCAACTAAGCCTGTGAGCCACAAATATTGAGCCTGCGCTCTAGAGCCCACGAGCCACACAAGAGAAGCCACCGCAATGAGAAGCCTGCACACTGCAACAAGAGTAGCCCCCACTCACTGCAACTAGAGAAAGCCCACGCGCAGCAATGAAGACCCAAGGCAGCCAAAAATTAATTAATTAAATTTAAAAAAAAAAAGAAGCAAATGGATCCCTGGATCCCCACCCATGACCATCCCCCAAGACTGGAATCTTTTTTCTCTGGAGAAGGTAAAACAGAGGGTCCCTTAGCTAGGGATCACTAGGCACAGTTGAGGGCAGGAGTACCATACTAAAGATTATATATATTTATGTGTGTGTGTCCTTGGATACTAAATAAAATGAAAGCAAAAAAATTTTTTTTTTTTTTTTTTTTTGCGGTACGCAGGCCTCTCACTGTTGTGGCCTCTCCCGTTGCGGAGCACAGGCTCCGGCCACACAGGCTCAGCGGCCATGGCTCACAGGCCCAGCTGTTCTGCGGCATGCAGGATCTTCCCGGACTGGGGCACGAACCCGTGTCCCCTGCAGCGGCAGGCGAACTCTCTACCACTGCACCACCAGGGAAGCCCTGCAAAAAGGTTTTTAATTCAATATAAGAGTTAAAGAGAATCTCACAGGAAATAGAACCAAAAGACAAAGAGATGGAAAATGAGAGAAAAGATAAGAATATTAGAGGTATAGTCCAAGAGAATAATAGAATAATAAGACTCTAATAAAGTTAGAACAGAGAATATAGAGGGAAGAAAACAAAAAATAATAATTAAAAAAAAATTCAGTAACACTTTCCAGAACCAAAGGACATGAGTTTTGGATTTAAAAGACTCACCAGTGCCCAGCACAATGAATGAACATGAATCAGCACCAGGTACACCAGACGACCGGGGGCAAAGAGAAGATCCTCAAGGTTCCAGAGAAGAACAGAGCATGTTTCGTTATAAAGGATCAGGAATCAGAAAGGCAACAGACTTTTCCACAGCAGCTTTGGGAATGGAGTAAACCATTCCACATCCTGAGGAAAAATGATCCCCACTTAGAAGTCTGGTTCCAGCTGCAGTATCAATCGGGTATGAGGATTGATGAAGGACTCTTTTGGACATGCAAAGACTCCCTCTGTCTCTTCTTAGGAGGCTGCTGGAGGAGGACACCACCAGAACAAGGATTTAAACCAAGGAAGCAGAGGACATAGGAGCCAGGAAAGGGTGAGAGAGAGAGATGATAAGGGTCCTATGGTGAAGGGGACAGAGGCCCCTGTGCAGCAGGGCTGGGGGTTAAGCAGCCCAGATTGGAGCAGCCAGAGCTTCGAGAGATGTCTTCAAGATGAAATTAAGAACGTGTTTAGGGCTTCCCTGGTGGTGCAGTGGTTGAGAGTCTGCCTGCCGATGCAGGGGACACAGGTTCGTGCCCCGGTCCGGGAAGATCCCACATTCCGCGGAGCGGCTGGGCCCGTGAGCCATGGCCGCTGAGCCTGCGCGTCCGGAGTCTGTGCTCCGCAACGGAAGAGGCCACAGCAGTGAGAGGCCCGCGTGCCGGAAAAAAAAAAAAAAAAAAAAGAATGTGTTTGAATACACAGAAAAGAAAGGTTCATAGTTTCTGGAAAGTTTTGAGATAAATTAGTGATAAATGCATAGAAAATTAAGCAAATATTCATAGACGAACTGCAGGAAATAAAATGATATATAGAAAAGAAGTATGCTAAATTACATGTGAATAACATTTGCATAATTATAACAATGTAAACAATGAGTGCAGATCTAATCAAAAGTACCTGACCCTATTAGGAGGAAAGGATAGAGGGACAGGATGTGTGCATGTATGATAGGGAGAAGGGAAAGGTGGGCAAGAGACCTAAATACTCATCATCCATCATGGGAGATCAGTAGATGCTTAAAACTGAGAACTCAACAGGAAGCAGTATATGTATGTTAATTAAATATATAAAGGTAAAGGGACTTCCCTGGCGGTTCAGTGGTTAAGACTCTGCGCTTCCACTTCAGGGGGCACGGGTTTGATCCCTGGTCGAGGAACTAAGATCCCACATGCCACGTGGTGAGGCCAAAAAAAAAAAACCATATATATATATGTGTGTGTATATATATATATATATATATATATATGTAAATATAAAAATAATTGGTTAAAAGTTAAAAAATGTCAATTCTGGGGAGCAGGATATATAATGGGGGTTATAGGCCTTGTAGAACTATTTGATTCTCTCAACTATGTGCTCATATAATTTTAATAAAAGCTAAATTTAAAATGATTTTTTTAAAAAGGAACTTGAGAGTCAGATATAGTCCCTGCCAGCACAGACATGGAGACCAAGCATTGAAACCAGTAAATATACAATAGAGCATGTGCTGAGTATTGTTCATGGTGGTATGGGAATTTCCAGGAAGGATTTCATTGAGTCTGTGGGTCAGAATTTCAGCTGAGGTCTGAAATACGAAGAGCAGTTAGCAAGGCAAAGAGATGGTAAGGGTTGGTAGACGAGCATTCCCGGAAGAGGCAACAACATGTGCAAAGGCCAAGAGATAAGAAAGCGAAGTACAGTGAAGAGGCTCAAGTGCAGAATTCAAGGGTGAAAGGTGGCCTTGGGTGTCCCTGCAGGGCCTCAGGGACCATGTGAGAGGGTAGATTCTGGACTGAAGCGTGTTAAGCAGGAGAGTGGCCCAGTGAGGCCTCCTTTTAGAATGCTCTCTTTGGCTTCATCGAAGGAAGTAGATTGAGCGGAAGCAAGATAGGAGGCTCCTCTCCAGTACTTGTTAACTGTTCCCTGTTCCTGGACACTAGCCTACGTTTATTTTTAGTTCCGGGGAAAGACTCGAAATTTTTCCTTCTAGTTTTTAACAGAAGTTCACAGACTTCCAACGGGTGTTATTGGGAATCCCACATATTAAGAGTAGATAAAACTTGGTATTGTGCCTTCCTCAAGTGTTCAGTCGTAATACAGCATGAGTCTGTGGCTATAGCTGTGCCTCCAGGTGTCTTCAAGTGCTGAAGACAAAATGAGGGTGATAAATGACAGAGAAGTGGGTCACCTCAGGTCCCTGGCTCCAGGGTCTGATGCACATATCCAGGGCTGACTCAAGGAAACCAGACTCAGAAGAGACTGATGAAGAAACCAGATGCTGCTTTGTTAATTGTTGCCAGTGGATAGGCTTTGCCAGCAACCATAATGCTGATCCTTATC